TTCAGCTTCTCCAGACTGGTTTGACCCCATTCTGCTGCACAGTGCTGTGAGGATCTGCATTTCCCAGTCTTCTAGAGCCAGGCATCAACTTTTTAATTTTTTTCCCTCCAAACAGATCAAAATCCACAGACTGTCTTTGGGTTTTCACAAAAAAAAACCCCCGTACATAAAAGTTAGGGCAAACTTTTGGTGTTCATTATTTTTGTTTTCCCCTCATTTTGTCTGCCTGTACGTGTGGGAACACACACACTTTCTTATTTATCTGCAGCCTTTCTGCAGACCGCTTTTGGTATGTCTTATGGACGATGGATGGATCATCCACATGATCACAGTTTATAACACCACGTAGGCCGTAAGATATAGACTCACAAAAATCAAAGTGACTTGCCTACTGCGACAGAAAAAAGCAGTCAGCAGAGTTGGGAAGATGGCAATGAATAATTCGGGTAACCTTTCCTGTCTAGGTACCATGGAGATGTGCCATGTTTCTCTGCAGGCCTGGAGGTTTTGGTTTGGGGTTGTTAATTTTTCTGCAGAGCACGTACGGAAAGGGCAAGACAGGCAAGCACTAAAAGCAGTCCAGCTTCTTTCATAAATCAGCAGGATACAGTATCCAGTTGTTTACTTAGCATAATTTTACACAGACTAGACTGGACAAGTCATGAAACACTGGGCACAAGAGCTGAGAAATGCTGCTATTAAAAAGGCATGCGGAAAACTTTCCCAAGGGATGCCAAGAGCGTGTGTGGGAAGAGGTAGGAGGAAGAAGCAGCAGCGTCAGGGGTTATAACAAACAAAAAAGAAGTGATTGTGTTTTTCCCTCAAAATCAGTTACTAAACCTTTCAAAGAAAAAAGCATCGCTGGAAGGGGAACACAGGAGCGACACTGGAAACAACCGTGCAGCTGCAAAGAAAGCCTCTAGAAGAGTTTATAAAGCAGAGTCAAGCCGCCTGTTTAGGGCGTGATGCAAGTTAACAGCTTAGATGCAGGCAAGATTTGCCAAGTGAGCTTTGCTAAGGTTTTAAATGTTATTTGCTTCACAAGCAGCTGGATTCTTCTAACTAAAGAGTGACTGCCAAATCTTACAGCGTGCTTGTGTTGCATCTGATAACATCAGTCATGGCTCACTCGGTATGCGACACTGCTGCACACCAGTACGCAGCAAGGAGCTGGTGGGAACCTAACAGCGCGGTCGGCGAGTGGAAGGGCTGGGCGAGGGGCAGACTGAGCACCGCCTTATCCAAAAGAATGCCCCAAAAGGAGCAGAGACCCTACAATAAAAAGATTAAAGATGGACTACAGGGATCTCTCCAACAGTGCCTCCCCTCACAACACGCGCGCAGCCCGAGACTCATCCCGCATATGTACATTTTGGAAAAGAATTTTTAAAGCGTGTATACGCTGATAGTTCATATTGTTCCCCTTTTACGGTCATTGGGCTCATTCCAACAACAGAATAGCTTTCAATTGATGAGGACTGGTGGGGTTTGGGTTTTAGTTGTTCTACGCTCCAGTGAAATTTTTTCACCCTGCATGTGCTCTAGCTTCGCCCTCAGAAAGTGAAAATAGGACCGACATAGGCACGATTCTGTAGGAAGACTTCAGATCTTTAGATCTTACAGATGCTTTAATGCTTGCTTTAGTGCTGCAGATCTAAAGATCTACAAAGATCCATACAATCTTCTAGGTCTTGTCTTAATTTGTTTAGAGAGGAGGGAAGTGGAAGAGGCAGGCAAGTTTTATGCATATCAACACCCCCCCAACGTTTCAGGCAGCAGTACTAACTAGTCATAATGTATTCAAAGATCAAGCTGATATCTTCAGCCCACCTCCTCTTTTCTCATCCTTACCACCATTCTTTTCAAAATTAAAATCTGAAGAGAAAACCACAAGAAAAGCTGAAAAGGATGAAGTACACTTCCACAGTGCCATGTACATTACAGAGCTGTAATGTTTCTTCCAACGTCTCTAGTTGGAGTTTACACTACCTCATTTTCTTCATGCCAACCAAAACTTTTTAAGGAAAGCCTTCGCTTGGACTTTGACATCCCTCCCATTCGGGTGATCAAAGCTTTCCAGCCCAGAACTGATGTAACCTCGCTGATCCTGAGCAATGTGTGAATTGCAGAACTGGGGCCTTGAAAACTGAAAATTTGGGGTGTGCCCACAAAGTGTGCCAACACATTAGGCTTTATAATTTGTTAAGCATTTGGCAAAGCAGGCACTGGATCAGAGGTGTCCCAGAAGAAAATAAGTCTTGCATCTGTTCTCAACACAGGTTAGATAAAACAATCATATATCTTCCACGGCACTGCTTCTACTTAAGCGGAAAGGCATAACGCTGCCCGTAAGACATGCACAAAGGCACAAATCACCTAGGGCTTCAGTAGCCGCTCATCAAAAAAAAAAAAAAAAAAAAGAATCACAATTTCAGTTTTGTGGAAGTTTCCACTCAAGCCTCTTTCCCCATGGACATGGACACAGTTAGTGTTACCATTAGCCTACAAGAGCACTTCATCCAACCATAGCTCTTGAAGCAGGCGGAGTAGGTAAATTTGAGGCTCCTTCAGTGTTTCTTTCAGGGCAGTGCTGAGGGTGGCAGTCACTACCCCTTCTGTCCCCACGTTCTCTCCTCCCACCGTCCCCGTAAGCTGTGGTGAGCTAGAACCAGGATGGAGCTGCATGGTCTGCCAGCAGAAGGACGTGTTCATGAAACCTTGAGGAACTCAGGCCATGGCTTGATGATATGGCCATCTCTGGCAGCAATGTCAATTTGAGCTACTGCCCCTGCTCCCCCATGGCTGTAGGTAGGTCTTTTCCAATCTCAAGCCACCTTCTTCATAGCGACGGCACAGCTGTTTGTAACGCCATGTGCTAAACTAGATCAACGAACCAATCCAGGTTATAAATAACCAGGGGAAAGAGAGGAGCGAGGGTATTTTTAACCTGGAACCGGGTCTTATTCACTGATCCAGGCCACCATCTGGCCCCAGGGCAGTTGTGTCGGCACAAGTGTTGGGAGACAGGCGAGGAACGAGCGAGCAAGAGTGGACAGGAATATCCTACAGCCACGTCTGCCACTGTAAAAATGGTACATGCAATGGTATCGCCCGTGCCTGGTGCTAGCAACAGTATCATCCATGCCTGGTGTTAAAAAGTGGAGCTGACTTAGCACAACCTGGAAGAATTTATACCACATTTTTAGCTGCCGCAGGCTCATTACTTCGAGCTCCACTGGTAGGAATGACAACACTTTTAAGCTGCATGGGGCTAACGTCTCCGAAGTGCTCCCTCTGACTGCCCTTCATCCCCTAAAAAAGCATGAACTTGTGAGGTAAAAGACAGACACTGCCAATACACAACTAGTGTTTCAAAACCAGCCAAAAATTACAGAAAGTTTCAAAATATAATCCATCTCCTGCAACATGAGCTCAGCCATACTATAGACAGCATTTTTCAATTGTTTTCCTTTTGCTGTGCAACCTCTCCATTACAACTGTTTGTGATTAATATATGCTATTAAAAACAGAGGGAGTGTGCAGTATAGCCAATCTTAATGCTATGGAAGAAGCCTTCGTCGTGCGTAAATCCACTGCACAAATGGCAACGTTTGCTGTGCAAAGAACATTCGCTGTATGTCAACACACCTTTGTTCTTCTCTGGTTTGTTTGCTTGTTAGCTGCAGCAAAATAGCATTGCCTCCTCATGAAGGCAGCCTCTGAAAATCTCCGGCTGAAAATTTATTTTTATCAGGCCATCTTCCAAAGCAAGGATGTCTAGCTCTTGGCAGACACAACAGCTTAAGTTAGAGAGTGGCAGTCACATTGCCCATCGATCACAAGGAGATGTAGAGATATGACTGAAGTCCTATCAGTTGACCTGACCCTGCCTTCTTGTTTTCCTCCCTCTCCTGCCTGTTTACCCATTACACCCTAGCCACCCACCTCGGAGCTTGTGTCCAAGGCGATTTTTACTTGTTGGCACCTATACACACACCAAAATATAAAACATTTTGCAGCAACACCCTCGTAGGAATTTTTCTTAATATAGCCAGCTTGCCAGAGAACCCTTGCTTTGTACAATGCACACGCGTTGACATATTTTTCCCCTAATACCTACATAAGATTGAGGAGTTAAAAAAAATAAGACGCTTGGTTTGAAGAGGCACAACCTCTCTTCAGAAGTGCCATATCAGTAAAGGATCTCATTCGATTTTAAATCTGAAGCTGTTGTGTTAATTCGTGGATGTAACTCTATAAAACACAAATGGAACCAACAGGGAAAAACCCATGCTTGTCCTGATCTGTTTTGAACGCTTAATTTAGACTGATTGCTTTTTGAACAGCATAAACTGCAAGACATCTAAGGATTCAAACATGGGCATATATTTTTTTATTTCTTTGGCTGGGTTAATTTCCCGTTTTTCCCATCTAAAGCTCCACAGTAAATCCCCCTGGGTCAGTTACAACTACTACTTTACACTGCTGAATTCTGCCAGCAATCTGCTCATCGTTCCTGCAGATGTTTCTGCTTTTGGGCTTCTGGGAACTTTATTGGACCCATTTCCTTTGAATAAATGTATACCCTTTTTAGGCTGCAAATGTACCAGGGAAACTACTGTCCTCTACATCAAGCAGCCTCCTCACCTTCTTTTTCGGTAAAAGCAAAATGCTACGTTTAAGAGAAAAAAAAGTGGGAAGCAGTGAATCTGGCTTTTTTCCCATCTCCTGAGAAATTAATGAAAAGGGAGTGCTACACATGCTCATATGTCTTGAGACCAGCCAAAGCAATTTGTGAAGGCCAGAGGCCCCTGCACACAAGCACACAGAAACCTCGTAAAGGGCAGATGGGCTGGAGAGGTCGGGTCCTGCAAACCGAAAGCAAACGCTCACATGCAAAGACCATGCCCTTCAACATAAATACAGGGTAAGGCATAGGCCAGCTCTCATTATTAAATTTTACCCATATTGCTAATAAAATAGAATGTTCCTCTACTCACCTCAGTAACGTCCATGACTTTGATGGCTGCCAGCTGACCCGTTTTGACATGCCGACCCTAAAGAAGAGAGAGAACTGTCAGCACCAGCAATCTCACCCATCCCTTCAGCATACACAGAACAGAACATTTGGATGAGAGCTCCAGCCACTGGGGTTTCCCCAGCTGTGCTGGACCCTGCTGATACTTCCCATGAAAAAACAACAAATACTCTAGATGGCTAAAAAAGTTTCTTTTTAAAATGTTCTTATACAAGTCTTAGAACCCATTTCTTTTTCTCCATATTAAAAGGATGATTATCAAGATTAAGCACAGACAGATTATATTCACAGCTTCCCGTCTGTTTACTTTAGCAAAGCTCATAGTCAGTAATGACAGTCTATTAACATGCCAGAATAGTTAAACTCCACGTATTGCACATTTTATTTCTCCACATATTGCACATTTTATTTCTATGCATCAGTGCCGGGTACCTGGGTGACATATCACTAGGTAAATGCAAGCACGCTTAGGGGGTTGCAAAAGGAGACTTCTCTTAGTTTTGGTCTTCACTAGTAAAAAAAAGAAAAAAAAAGGTGAGCTTTCTTCAAGTGATGCATCAGACCTGTGATAGCTCTCTTCGCCTGTCTCACGATAGCTAGACAAGACGTCGTCTCCCTTCAGCCATACCACCATAAGGGTATGGTTTCTCAGTACAGCTGGAGCTGAATTAATAGATCCCAGCTCCTGCGGCAGGGAGCTCCTACCCTTCCTTCCCCTGTCTCCCTCCAGCCTCCTGTCACATATTTCTCCCGGGAGCACTGAGCTCCTTCTGGCACTCATCGGATCATATGATAAGCTGATTGAGATCACTAAAATGGCAGAAAGTTAACAGGGATAAAGCAAACTGCAGGGTGGGGTGGGGGATTGCAGATCAGGAAACTGAACTGGTTTGCTCTGCCGCCGGAGCAGAGCCAGAGCTGGCAGCAGGCGGATCGCACGGCCGGGAGGCAGGAACAGCACGGGCCCCTCCAGTCGCCGAGGGCCCTAACTCCCCTCAGCCGACTTCTGACAAAAACCTTTTTTTCTCCAGTATATTTTTGCAGAAGGCGGGGCTGTATCAACGAGCTGTTCTGTATTTTTTTTTCCCCTAAATAGGCACTTAGAAATGGTCCTAGTATTGGCCTTTTCCAGTTCTCCACTTAAGACCCAGCAGTCTGCCCAGGGACTTCCAGTCAAACAGGCTCGTCTCCCAACGCCCTTCCCAAGCATCATCCCCAAAGGCTCCTCTCTGAATCAGTCAAGCTCTCCAGCAAGAGGCATGCCCACTTCTTCACTTTTATCACAAATAATGATAAAACCCACAACAAAACATTTCACTAAAGTCACAGTTCCTTTACCTTTCTCCTTGCCAATTTCTAAGTTTGCTAAGCAGAAACCTATACAGAGCATCCACTATAGCTGATGGACATCAACAGTCTATTTTTTTCCTGGACTAACTTCTAATCTCTTTACAGATTCTTTTGAGACTGGCACCCCAGAACTGAAGCTCCCCAAACCAGCAGGCTTCTTTGGGGAAATCTTGACCCCTTCACAGCTTATGATGGCCTCCATGGAGGTAATGGCCAGGCATTGCTGGTACATTAGAAAGGACAAAATACTTGCAGAACTCGCAGCCTCTGCTTTCTTTCACAACCCTTATTGCGCTGTGCTCTCCCCTTATTAACCAATCCACACGCTTTCTATAAATAAATTACTGTACTCGAGCTTCTGCTGGCTCTGTAAACTCTCTTTATTGCATGCATTTCTTTTTACAGCTTGGTCTCAAGCTGGTTTCGATTTTGAAACAAAGTTAAGGTCGCAACATGTATGCAGTGGCCAACACTGACCTCACCTTGACCTTACTATTTCTTGAACCAAAGCCTTTCAGCAAGCCCAGGAGAGAAGCAACTCCAGTTTCCCATTCTGGACCACTGCCTAACAACAAAAGCCTGTGGTCTTCTCCTCAAGACTCACCATCCCACCAAGGGAGGAGGGGAAAATGTTTTACAACGAGGTGGAAAAACGCCTCCTCTCAGCTCTGCCCCTATTTTCCACAGCCCTGTGGAAAAAACTAAAAGGCCCAAGGATGTGAGGAAGCACAGTTTGAGGTACAAAAAGAATATGCTGACGATAAGAGAGGAACAAGGACATCTCGGAGGAAAAAAGCTCACTCCTGCTAAGGAGGACTGAGGAAGAAGAAACTTTTTAAAAAACAGAGAATACCATTCATTTTGCAGCAAAGCAGGGACGCTAAATGGTGGCAGAGCATACTCCAAGGAGAAGAAGTGGTACACAGAAGAGCGAAGTAGCGAGACATCCATGGGGTGCCACGTATTTTATGGAAAGTTTGCTCTATTTGTCTTTTTAAATTTATGAACTACTAGTAGGCTTGCTATTTATTTCCAGAGAGAAGCCTGAAATTTCCCAGGGCTCAGCTTCGCAGCTTTTCTCAAGACGACGTTCTTCCCCGTGAGACTGGCCCACTCAAGATGACTAATGTGCACCAGCCCAAGCATCCCAGCTTTACAGGATCCTGCTGGTGCCTCCGCCAGTCCCTGCGAAAACCTGGGCCACGACAGCTACAGCTGAGCGCAGCAATTGCTCGGGGTTCACTTTGCTGTTTCTGCAGCGGGGATGGGAAAAGCTTCTCCATAACCCCCCTAAGGGACTGGAAAGAAAGAGAACTGCAGACTGTGGGAAGTGTGGGCTGCCCAGTATCCCAGGCCAAATTTAAACCTTGGTCATTTCAGAGTATTGTTAAAAATTACTCAAAATACCCTTTTCATAACGTATGGAGCATTCATATTCTAAGCATCTACAACATACTGGGGAGGGAGGGGAGTTGCATGACACTGATTTATATGAGAGAAGTAAAAGGACATTTTGAAGCCACATTCTTTTCATTAAAAAGATTTTGAGAGGGAGGGGAAAAGCAAATATCACAAGCACAACATATAAGCATGAGCAGAGTTTTTGTTTGTTTGTTTATCTGCTCAACAGCTCCACTCAAGAACAGACTTGTCAAACTATTAGCATGCTGGTATAATTTTGCTCGCAACATGAAATGGCTAAGCATTCCTGTTTTGGAAGCTGATCTTCAGATTTTCATAGCCAGCTTTTGCTTTGGAAAAATTTGTCTGCATTAAACATAATAATAATAAAAATGACAAAGTGGTCAAATGTGACAAAAGAACTGCAGAAGTTGTAGATGGGAGAAACCCTCTCAACTCAATCTCCTGGGATTAAAACTTATTCAAATCCAACTCCCAGGGCACTTCATAAATGCAGTAGCCATTAAGGTCCCATCCAGACACCATCTCAGCAACACCACCGGCTAACACTCTGGTGGGACAGCATTTTTCTTGCAGAAGGAGACCTCTTCTTTAAGTGCTGTCTGGAGTCATGGCCCCTCGGGGCATCCCAGGCTCCGCCATCCCTAGGGCACAGGGCACACAGAGGTTCTTGCAGCTTGGTTTCTCCTGGCAAATTGCTGGCAATTACTATCCCAGTATCTGAAAAACACCATGAGACTGCGAAACGTGACCCATGCTAATTGAGAAAAACGCGACCCATGCTAATTGAGAACACGAGTTTCTTAAAATATTGCTAGATGCCAAGTATCAGAGGCTGGAGATCAACTGTCCCCTGGCCAGAAAGTTAAGCACGGATATGAAATATGCAATGAAGATGACAGCAACCTACATGTGTCTTGTTTAGCATAAGATGACTATCTCCAGAGCCAGCAGACTGAGGAGGCTGAGGAGGTTGTACTGTGTAGCAGCAACAGGTAGTAGAGGCAACGTGATCCCAGGAGCGAGAGTTTGCCCCTTACTAGGTTTTGGGGTAGGGGCCACAACAAAAGGTCAGCACAGCCTGGCTCCCACCCCCACAGGAAAGAGCCCAGCAACATCTTCATTGATTTCCAAACTCCTTGTCGTTTCTTACACATCCTCCCCGCCTTTCTTTCCCTCTTTTCATGAGGGAAATTCATACTAAAGCACTTGTTTATCCTCCCAAGGAAGTAACGTAAGAATATTTTTAAGACCACTACTGCACCATTCTATTTTTAAATGGTCTGTTGGGATGAGTAAGTCAATGGAGCTGAGCCTGCTGACCCCAAATCCTGTCCTGTTTCTTCTCATGCAGATGACAGAAAGTTCATTTACATATGGGGGGTTTAAAATACAGCTCTTCTCATCAACACAGCAACACTGCAGCATTTAACTGGATCTTAAACTGAATCCACTACTTAAGCATATTCCCAGTCATGTCTGATAGCAATATGCTGTTTATTTCTCATCTCAGTGGGCTTTATGCATGTTGAAAAGCAGAGGGGACAAGGGGAATCCTTGGTAGACTGCCAAGATCTGCAGAACATTACAAATTTCAAGCCTACCCACACTCTCCAAGTCAGTTAATACACCTACTTCTTGCCTCTTTCTTCCTCTGCACACATCATTACTGTAAAATTTTTGTTTTGGAAAGGTTCAAAGACAAATGTTGTTATGTGCTGTTTTTCACAGAGCTTTTTTCTTCCCTAAGATGCCTTAATGTTATCAAAGAACTATGCAAATTAAACGCAAAAGAAATCCCATCGGCTCATTTACCTCCTATCCCCTCCCCAATTATCCAAGATATGTATTCCGCAGTAATGTAATTCTCCTACTAACACAGTTTCCGGCCTGTGCATTAATGTCCTTTTTGGGGGACTGTACCTGCAAGCTTGCTCCCCAGCTAAATGGTATGGAAGTAGAATATGGGGCAACATCCCACATTAAGGAAGGAAGGAAGGCAGCACGCGTGACTCATGACTTGCAAGCTTGGATTATCCTGTGCACTGTACACAATTAAGTCTTTGAAAACTTCTCCAACCTCCCAGTATCCTATGCTGACAGTTGTGCAAAGAAGAGCAACTAAGTTGGAAAAAAATCTACTAACTCACATTTCGGGTGCTACAACGCACACATAAGCAGCAGCCTAGATTTAAACATGCTATCAAGCAAAAACTCACCATGGTACCACCTCTTAGCAGTGCTGTA